CTGTTGCATTTATGTCTGCCATGCAATGGTTCAAGGCCCCTGTGCAATGGTATATGGAAATTCTATCTGTATGGAGAGTTGCTTGCTACCTCAAAATCAGCAGGTCAGAGAGAAACTGGTCTGTGGTAATATAATACCTAGTTTGCTTTTCTGGAAGAGAATAGTGGACCAGTATTTAAAGTTGCCAGCCCAGACACATAAGGAGCTTGCATGCTCTTAACAGGTACGGCAATGAGAAACTGAGTGCTTCAGGAAGTAGATTTTGGCAGTAAAAAAAAGTCACTTATTTAATTTGTTCCTATGTATCCTTGTTTTTCCTATGAGGGAGGGATTCAGATGTAAACATTTGTTTAAAATGCTTTGACTTATGAGAATAATTAAATCACCACATACACCAAAAGCATGGACACTGTCCACCGTGGGCTCCCATCACAACTTCCACATTAAAGGCTGGATCCTGGTGGTATCCAGCTTTTTCATTCAGTTTCTGGTTCATTCCCTGCTTATTACAGTCACTACACATGGCTTATGTCCATGCAGAGCCTGAGATCCCCAGCATAGGGTTTTTTTGGTGTTCAGAGGAGGGCACCTTCCACCCTTTTTCACCAGTAAAAAAGCTGTTTGGATCCAACTATAAGTAAGTAGTTAAAAACATCTTCTTGTTGTTCAGTCACACAGTCGAGTCCGACTCTTCGCCACCCCATGGACCAGATCACGCCAGGCCTTCCTGCCTTCCGCCGTCCTCTGAAGTTTGCTCAATTTCATGTTCGTTGCATTTATTATTATCATTATCATTATCATTATCATTATCATTATTATTATTACATTCAGCTTATACCCCGCTTGAAACCCCCCCAAGGGGTCTCTGAGCAGCTTACATATTTCATTATCCCTATCTATGGGCACACACATGGTCAGGGGCGGGGGCTGTCTACCGGCACCCAGTGGTGAGATTCGCTTGTTGTTCCTTCGGCTCGGCTTTGGCTCTAGTCTTCTTCCACTGCAGGTTATGTGTTATTTTCAACTCCAAAAGCTAAAATGTTTAGCCAAAGAGCATTTCTGCTTTTGTATACATATAGCCCAGACTTTTGTTAGAACTTGGAAACTTAAGCAGTCAGATATGGTTAGTATTTGGATGGGAGACCACCAAGAAGACCAGGGTTCCTATTCAGAGGAAGGCAATGGCAAACCACCATTGAAAACCCATGAAGGGTCATAATGAATCAGTTGCGCCTTGATGGCACTTAATTATATCTCCCTCTTTTAGGCCCATGCAAGAATCTGGCATCACTACGACCAGCATTTCCGGCCACAACAGAAAGGATTCTTGTCGATAACACTGGGATCCCACTGGATTGAACCGAACCGCTCCAAGGACACTTCAGACATGACAAAGTGTCAGCAGTCCATGCAGACAGTATTAGGGTGGTTTGCCAATCCAATCCATGGGGATGGAGATTACCCCGAAGAGCTGAAAAGTGAACTCGTTAACATTTTGCCCAAGTTTACCGAGGCAGAGAAAAATCAGATAAAAGGAACGGCTGATTTCTTTGCTTTTTCCTTTGGCCCTAATAATTTTATACCACGGAGCTTGCTACCTAAAATGGGACAAAACTTCTCACTCAACCTAAGGGAAGTACTCAACTGGATTAAGCTGGAATATCACAATCCTCGAATCTTTATTGCAGAAAACGGGTGGTTCACCAAAAGCGATGTCCAGACAGAAGACACCACAGTCATCTACATAATGAAGGGTTTTATTAGTAAAGTCTTACAAGGTTTGTAAAACACTTCTTATATTAAAAAACACTGTATATATTCAAAAGATAGTATTCAAACCAGACAGGAAGAGGGGTATGTTTTGTGTGTACAGAAAAAAAATCAAGAGCTATGCCTTTCCTGCAACCTGCATGTTTGTTTGTGTACCTTAAAGGCCATTGCACAAATTATGCTGCAGTAAACCAGTTGCACCACACAGAAGAGTATTCACACACTGCTGGCTATGAAGGTGGGGTCTGGGCAGGCCCGTAGCCAGGATTTTATCATTCAGGGGACCATTAAATAAGTCAGGGGGCACTTATGTCACAAAATATTTTTTTTTAAAGATTAAAAACTCACTTTTGCGGCATTCGCACTCTGTCTGCCTATGCGGGGAAGTAAGCCACGCTTGGGGAAGGGGAGGCGGTGGGGCGTCCTCTGTGTGGCCCAGACAGTTGGTAGTTCTCTGGGCAGCCCAGAGAGCCAGGGGGCTGGGGGCTGGATGGAGGGGGGGGGGGGGCTTGGCAGGAAGTCAGGGGGCCAGGCCCTGAAATGTCCCACTGTAGCTACAGGCCTGGGTCTGGGGGCCCCAACCTGAGTAACACTCAGCTGTGAGATGCAGGTTCTCCTCACTTCATGCACACATGGTGCCTGATTTAAGTTTGGGGGCTATTTTTGGGCAGGAACGCACAGGAATGGAGTTCTGGCTGGCTCCCAAGTTGGCCACGCCCAGTAGGAACTCATTAGCATAACAGGCCACACCCAACATCAGAAACTCATTAGGATTGGCTACATTAGGGGTGTGTGGCCTAACATGCAAAGGAGTTCCTGCTACAAAAAAGCCCTGGGTTTTGACAGCAAACAAGGTAAACAGAATAAGAAGCAAAAGGTGGGTGTGGCTGGATGAGCACACTTCTGGTAACATGGGAGTGTGGCCTAATATGCCAATGAGCTGTGCTATCAGGGGTGTGGCCTGATATGCTAATGAGTTCCTGCTGTTGGGTGTGGCCTATTATGCTAATGAGTTCCTGCTGGACTTTTTCTACAAAAAGAGCCCTGTTTGGGACCATAGTACACATGGAGAAGGGGTTTCAGCCTTCCCTCTCATGCCATTTTCCTGACCCGCAACAGCCTGGGGTGTTGCTATTTGGCTGAGTCGGGAAATCCACATATATCTCAGGGAAGATGTGGATTTCCTTCAAATTCCAAATAGTACAGATCATTTCAGGTTGCAGAACTGGTGTGGGAGGGAACCACCCCATGGAGCTACTGTTGACTGCATTCCAAAATGTACACATAACCACATAAGTAATATTATTTCTCGAAAGGAGCCAATAGTGGCTCCACAGGGCAGTTTATATAGGAGAAATCAGCATGGAGGGGAAGGTTGCAGGCCCTTCTTCCTGTGCACCCCAGTCACATGGAGAAAAGAGCATCCATGAGCCTGGTAGGCACAAAATTCATGCTGAACATTGCTTCAAAATCCTTGTGTTGTTGCTCAGCAAACACAAGGACTTTCTAATGTGTAAAGAGCCCCATTATGAAAAGCAATTCTTCACCTGCCCATAATATTTTGAAGAACTTACCTTAGGGGGCTTAGACACGTAATAAACTGCCATATCTTCTTGAGAATGTAAGGATAACAATAATAACAACACCACAGTGTGTGTAGTATAGCCAGGAGATCCTAAGATTGTCTGGCAGCCTTAAGTCCTAGCTCTTTTAGCATTATGCACCACTAGGTGGTGAGCTAGACTTGTTTTTTTTTTAAGGCAAGAGACATTTCAGAGGTGGTTTGCCATTGCCTGTCTCTGCGTCATGACCCTGGTATTCCTTGGAGGTCACTGACCCTGTGTAGCTTCCAAGATCTGATGATGTTGAGCTAGCCTGGGCTATCCAGGTTAGGGCTTTGCCCGTATTCTCTTAGGTGGTGGTTCAGTTCCTGCATGCATGGTTCCAGTTTGGATAAGGATCATGACACACAGGGAGAAGGTGTTTGAACTGTTTTCCAAATTTGAAATGGACTCGGGTTTGCCCCACTGGAGAAACCAACATGTACTTCAGGGTACAAATAACTTTCTCCACTGGTGCAAATAGCACCCGCCCCCCCAAGAACCATTCAGCTTGGGAATATGGCACTGGGGGGGGGGATGAGTTTGAAGCCACTTCTCATCTTGCAGCATGGTTCTACTCCAAACCAGGCACCTCAAGTGTAGCAACTAAGGAGAACCCACAAGTCACACATGGCAGAAAGACAGGTTGGAGATCTGAGATGAGGCCTGTGGATTTCATAACGTGGACATAAGATGGCACAGAGATCACATTGATGTGTCAATCACAACATTAATGTGGAAAAGACTAACGTTGACCAATCTGTATGATTCTTCTGTCAGTGCAAGATGGATCCCACCATCCTCCAAGACTTTATTGATCAGACATGCAGACCAGATTCCAACGTGGAATAAATGTGTGCACGTACCCGTATCTTTTAAAAAGTATGGGTATGCATTTGGGAAACTTGGCTCAACCATATTTCCAAATTAGTACACACAGGTGTTAAGAGGTACTTGGGTGTGCATCTATTGCTTCCGTGAATCATGTGTTTGCGGTGGGAAAGAGTGACATTGCACTGGTTTTTCCAGAACCATGGTAATTTGTACCACTGCCCTGAAGCTTAATAGAGAGAAAGCTTGGCCTTTTTAGGGAACAGACTCCATTTTGCTCAATAAGAAGCTCCTGTTCTTGGTGACCACTCACTTCCCCGGGTGACAGAACCTCTCTATGCAAGGCCTTCTCAAAACAGAAATCAGGACATAGATATATAGGAGAGTGCCCCCTGATCTGAAAATGATCTGAAAATGTCTTACTCCGTATACATGTGATACAAACCATATTCTGTATTTTTCTAATATGGACTTTCGTATTGATTTCCCTTCTGCAGCTATTAAGTATGATAATATTGACGTATTTGGTTACACGGCTTGGTCCCTCTTGGATGGATTTGAATGGCAACATGCTTACAGCATCAGACGAGGACTGTTTTATGTTGATTTCAGCAGTAAAGAAAAACAGCGGATTCCGAAGTCGTCTGCATTGTATTACAAGCAGATCATTCGGGAAAACGGCTTTCCTGTGAAGGAGTCAACCTCAGCTTTACACCGCCAATTTCCCTGTGATTTCTTTTGGGGTATGACAGAGTCTGTTATTAAGGTAAGCATCTTCAGGCTGTGTTCAGAGGTTTGTGAGTATAAAGTACTGCAGGGGTCGTTTCATAGAAAAAGAGCTAGGGGAACTCATTAGCATAACTCATTAGCATATGCCACACCCCCTGACATCACCGGAAGTGTGTCATAAGGCCACATCCCCTGACATCACCGGAAGTGTGTCATAAGGCCACACACCCCGCCCCCAACGGTCCCAGCTGCGCCCGGCCTCCCGGCTCCACTGCGGAGCCCCATGAGGGGCCCGGCGGTGGACCTGCAAGGCTGGCGGGAGTGCAAGGAAGCCCCGCGAAGGCCCTCCCTGGCCCCAGGCAGGCAGGGGTGGGGAGAGGCAGGGAGGAAGCAACTTACCCTCTCTCTTCTCCTGCCTCCTCCTGGCTGAATGAGGGCCGGAAGCAGGGGGCGGGGCTTCATCATGTGCGCCGCCCCCCGTACCTCACCCGGGGAAACTGCGATCCCCCGTATCCCCCCCGAAATGACCTCTGAAGTACTGAGACTGAGGCATGGCATAGTGATTTCAGCTCATACTTTATTAATGCATAGGAGAACTTGAGATAACTAGCGGGACCCATGGCCCACATATTCCAGCCCACATATTCCGGTTCTTAACCACACCCAGCACACACACCCACACCCATGATAGGTTTATTTACAAACAACTCCCCCCTTTGGTTCTTTTTCGGATCCGGGCTGCCCGATTGGCTAACTCTACGATCCTCCGCTTCTATTGTCTTCGGATGCGAAGCTAAACCAGTCCGCATGGCCACGTGCGAGCCTGACCGCATGCGCAGTCTCCCTGGGTACATAACAGTGAGCACTGTGTACAAATAGCGTTTGTTCTTCTTGCTCTTCCCACCTCCTCTCTAGGCTCAGTTCAAGGCTTCTCAGTTCGATCAAGCTCCAGTTTGCTGTGATACCGGAATCCAAACTGGAGTTTGTTTCCCGCCCACCCCCTACCAAAGCCAGAGTTCTAAACTGGATTAACTGGGGTCTAGAATTCTGGCAGGAAACTTATTTCAGAAAAGCCCAAAGTGCCTGCATGTCATGGCAAATTGGAGCCTGGTCAGACTGGGTAGGAAGCTAAGACAAAGAAAAACAACCGGCTCAGTGCCTGCCAGCACGTTTCATGGCTTTGTGTGGATTTGAACCAGGTTTCCCCTGAGTCCTAGCCTAACCACCGCACAGACTTTCTAATGGATTTAATTTGATTAATCTCTGGGTTTGTAGCCTGAACTCTCCCTGTTCAGACATAGGATGAAAAAAGTGATTTGAGCATCTGTGAAAGTAATATGGGCAAAACCCTGACCTGGATAGCCCCGGCTGGCCTAATCTCACCAGGTCTCAGACATTAACTAGGGTCAGTCCTAGCTAGTATTTGGATGGGTGACTTCCAAGGAATACCTTGGGCGTGATGCAGAGGCAGGCAATGGCAAACCACCTCTGAAATGTCTCTTACCTCAAAAAACAAGTCTAGCTCGCCACCTAGTGGAGCATAATGCTAAGAGAGCTAGAACTTCTGGCTTCCAGATTATTTTAGGCAGGGCTTTTTTGTAGAAAAAGTCCAGCAGGAACTCATTAGCATAATAGGCCACACTCAGCAGCAGAAACTCATTAGCATATTAAGCCGCACCCCCATGTTACCAGAAGTGTGGTCATCCAGCCACACCCACCCTTTGCTTGTTATTCTGTTTACCTTGTTTGTTGTCAAAACCCAGGGCTTTTTTTGTAGCAGGGACTCCTTTGCATGTTAGGCCACACACCCCTATTGTAGCCAATCCTAATGGGTTTCTGCTGTTGGGTGTGGCCTGTTATGCTAATGAGCTCCTGCTGGGTGTGGCCAACTTGGGAGCCAGCCGGAACTCCGTTCCTGTGCGTTCCTGCCCAAAAATAGCTCTGATCTTAGGACACATTGCCATACGATAATTATAATTATTAATTATTAGTACGAGTAAAAGTATATTTGATGGCTATCCCATTGTGATCTGAAATCCTGAGGCTCATAAATCCGAGGATTAATTGTGGAATGATCAAACTGGAAAACTAATATATTACACTGTTTTGGGTCAGGACCACCCACCACTTGCAGCATAAGGCACTTGCTAACCAAGTAATTAATAGATTTTTCAACTAAGAGAGTCAAGCTTCTGGCTTCAAGAGGGGGCTAAGGTCTGACTTGAGAGCACCATGCACCGGGGTGGAGCATACCCCTGAGGTGGGGCAAATGCCGGTTCCCAGGGCTTCTGGCAGGGCCCATGACCAATGACTATGTACCAACCCTGCTGCCCACCCACACACCCTTTCCCCACTCACTTCCTTAAAAGTACTGTGACATCCATGTTCCCAGCCATAGCACACTGTCCAGCATTGTCAGGGAATGGGCATGTGGATGCTTACAGGCATCTGTGAGTGCGGGTACTGAAAGGGCTCAATGAGTGGGTGGGAGAAGGATGCACAGGCATATGGGTCAGTAGGTGGGAAGTGTAAGACAGAAACTCCGTCAAAGGTTGTGCTCCCCCAGCCCAATTTGAGAAAGCACACGGCAGTCTTGTAAAGGAGAATCAGATCTTGTACTTTATAGATCAAGAAAGGAGGGAGGTGCAGATCCAATAAGATTTTGGACCCCACAGCTCTCCCTAAGGTTACAATGGGAGGGTTTTATACCCCCTATGACAAGCTAGAAATAAAACAGAATTTTTGGTTCCATCAAGCACTGTCAAATTTCATCACCTATTTCCCATTGGGTTAAGACCTGGGGGGGTGGGGGTTGTTCCCAGGCAGAGTTCTTCTTTTCCTAACAGAACAATACACTTTTCTTTCGGAAGCTATGAAGTTGCATGTTGTATCTATATAACTGATATGGTTACAGAGTGCTTACTGTTCTTTATTCTAGCTAGGCGAACTGACATCAGAAACATGTGCAGTTGTAGCTGGCCAGAACAAGCAAGGTCACTGTAGTATGATTGCCTGTCAGCATTTAGTCATTTTACCCAGGATGCTTTTAAACAATGAACCAAAGTGAATATCTGAATATATGTTCATGATTGATTTCAGTCACTGTGATTAGAACCATCAAAGGCACTTAACATATGCATCATGGAAGCGTTAAGAGCACCTACTAAGTTAAACCTGTTAGGCAGTGGCAGAGTACAAAGTGGTTCATAAAATGTGCATACAACAGAAGGGAGGCATGAGAAGGGGGGTCTGGTGGTAGGTGGAGGAGAGGAAGGGGCCCTAGGCACTCTCTGCCCAAGCCCCCCCCCCCAAATCTAGAACTGGCCCTGCTGTGCACAGCGCTTTATGGACACAAGGGGGCTTTCCCATCCCTTTTTTCCTCTGTGGCAGCACAATATCTCACCAAAATAACCCAGTCCCATACATTGGGTGATCCTCCCCTCTCAGAACAGCATGTGGCATAGAGAGTTGTAACTGCAGGTAGGGAATGGGCAGAAACCAGTGACTCCCCTTCTGCTGCAAAAGGCCCTTTGAATCAAAGGCTGTGATCACACTGGCAGCTTGGCGCGATATGGTGCCGCCTCCAATTGAACCGGGTTAAAGTGTAGTGGGATATATCAGCCACACAGCACACCCTGATGCGGGTTACCCACAGAGACATCCCGTGGTAAAGCATCCACATTATTGTGGCGCCTCAACCATGGAGCGAACTGCAAAAAAAAAATTCCAAAATCCATGTGCGCACATGTGCATATAGACAATTTTTAATTTTAAAAAATGCCTCCCTAGCGGCAGAACGGATCTGCAGGTTTAGACTGCCAAATCCGTTCTGCGCGCGCTCCCCCGTGTTCAGACATCCAGCCATGTGCAATGAATGCGCGGGGAAACCAAAACACCACTTCGGAGGTGGTGGCTTTTTAACCCGGCTCTAAGTCATCCTCTAATTGGGTGAGTACACCTGGGGAACGCCTGACAGATGTGGCTGTGTGATTGGGCCCATTTAATCTGTTTGTAAAATGTGCCTATATCGGGCCAAACTGCCAGTCTGAACACAACCTAAGCCACTGCCTCCTTTAAAACCTTTGTTTCCATATTCAATGCTAGCAGTAGTCTGCAAGGCCAGAAGAAAGATAAGGTGAATGCATCAGGAAATATCCGCAAGCACTTTTAATAGCTGAGAAATTAATTCAACTCAGCCTTCGCTAGTCACTGGGGGGAGTAGCAAACCTTCGCTTGTACATATCATACTAATAACGACATATCAATCTGTAGCAGCAGATAGATGGGAGATGTACAGTATTTTATTTATAAGCTTTGGCAGAAAACCTTGTTAGATCAGCACTGGGTAATTTAACTGAGAAACAGGTGGATTTATCTGAAAAACAAATTAAAACCTATGTAAAGAAAACAATGCAGTCATTAAGCCGATAGACCATATTTGTTAGAGAGCATGGAGCAGCGCAAAGCTATATGCCGGCACAAAAATATCAGCACCTGGGGCAATGCATTTACTTTCTGGGCGAGAGTGCCTCATAATCTCTTGCTGCCATTAAGGTAAATGTTTGAGCTCCATTCTCTCTCATGCCTGCATTAAACTCTCCCCTTTTAAAAAAAATCTCACATCATCTCATTTATATTTACAGGCTGAATCTGTCGCCTCGTCTCCCCAGTTCCATGACCCCAACCTGTACCTCTGGAATGTTACTGGTGATGGGCTTTTCCACCAGGTGAAAGGAGTCCGACTGAAAACCCGTCCTGCTCAGTGTACCGATTTTGTCAGCATTAAAAAACAACTGGAGCTGTTGTCAAAAACAAAAATCACCCATTATAGATTTGCACTCAACTGGTCGCTGCTTCTACCCAGTGGCAAGTTGTCATCCATAAACAAGCAAGTCCTTCGATATTATCGATGTGTGGTTAGTGAGATGATCAAGGCCCAAATTAGCCCCATGGTCACCTTATATTATCCAACCCACCGCTCTTTGGGCCTTCCTGAGCCTCTACTTCTGAATGGGGGGTGGTTAAACCAGTCTACTGTTCAGGCTTTTAGAAACTATGCAGAGGTGTGTTTCCAGAAGCTTGGGGACTTGGTCAAATTCTGGATCACGATAAACGAGCCCAATCGACTCAGTGATATTTATAACAACAGCAGCAATGATACTTATCAGGCAGCACACAATTTACTGATAGCGCATGCCTTGGCTTGGCATGTCTACGATAAAGAATATAGATCCTTCCAGAGAGGTCAGGTGTCTCTGTCTCTGCATTCTGATTGGGCAGAGCCCGCCAATCCCTTTGTTGACACGCATTGGAAAGCTGCCGAGAGATTCCTTCAGTTTGAAATCGCTTGGTTTTCAGATCCAATTTTTAAGACAGGCGACTACCCTGCTGCGATGAGAGAATACCTTGCGTCTAAGAACAGCAAAGGCCTCTCTCGCTCTGCTTTGCCGCATTTCACGGGAGAGGAGAGGAAACTTGTAAAAGGTGCAGCTGATTTTTACGCACTGAACCACTTCACTACGAGGTTTGTGATCCACGAGGTGAAAAACGGAAGTCGGTACGAATTTGATCGGGATGTGGCATTTCTGCAAGACCTGACCTACCTGAATTCCCCGTCTCGCTCAGCAGTAGTGCCAGAGGGGCTACGCAAAATTCTACACTGGATTAAGAAGCGCTATGGAAACATCGACATCTACGTGACAGCCAGTGGTATAGATGACCATTCTTTAAATAATGACGAAGTCCGAAAATACTACATCGAAAAATACATACAAGAAGCCTTAAAAGGTAAGTGAAACGTAAAAGAGGGCAGTTGCTCTGGCTGCGCGTTTGCTGACCCTCATTGCAGGGCTTTGCTGGGGAGGCAGAGGCAACCCTTCTCCGTTAGAGGGGAGGGGGGGAAAGGAAATTCCATATTCTTATTCTCATTCAGCCAGAAAAGTGGTCCGCGTCTGCAACTGAACCCGCAGGGAGAGGGGGAGGCTGGCCTCGGGCACCAAAAGCCCTTGAGCCCTGTGAGAGACATCATCCAATAACCATTTCACCTCGGCAGTCAACAGTGCCATACTAAACACAGCTACATCTTTCTAAGTGCAGTGACTTCAAAACATTGCTTTGGGGTGTACTGTAAGCTTGGTGAATATGTCTTGTGAATGAGACCACCACATGTGGTGGTGGTGGTGGTTAAATATTTACCCTGTTAGCGTATCGATTCTCATCTACATAGAAAGCAGGGCTATTTTTGGGCAGGAACACACAGGAACGGAGTTCTGGCTGGCTTCAGAGTTGACCACACCTGCTACAGCTGAAACCTCTGCGTGCGTGGCTAGAGAGGGAAGGGGCGCCCGGGCAAGCAGTTTAAACAGCCTTCCCTTCAAGGGGGGAGCCAAGGGAAGGCACGGGGTTGTGGCCTAATATGCTAATGAGTCACTGCTGTTGGGTGTGGCCTATCATGCTAATGAGTTCCTGATGGGCTTTTTCTACAAAAAAAGGACCCTGATAGGAAGTACCTACTTTAATCATATATAACCAAGATATATTATGTATATGACATCAATGAGGTTAAGCTATCCTCTTTCAAGGGTTTTCTCTCACATTGAATCTCATCCTTCCCCCAAGGAGCTCAGGGCAGCACATATTGCTGTCCCCTCCTTCAGTTTATCCTCACAACAACTCTGTGAAGTGGGTGAGGCTGAGAATGACTGGTCCAAGGTCACCCAGCAAGCACGGTGCCATGACAGAATATGGCTTTGAACCTGGTTCTAGTCTGATCTAACCATCACACCATGCCAGTTCTCTAATGCACAAATTAGACTGAGAGAAAGGGACTGTCCTACAGTTTCCCAGTGAGCTTCATGACTGACTGGAAAACTGGGGTTTTCCTTGGCCCATTTTGGCATTCTGATGACTACATCAAAAGTACTGTGAAATAAGAAATTTCAGTTGACATCAAGTAATGGCAAGCAGGGGAGTCATTTCCTGCAGGAGCGCACAGGAGCGGAGCTCCAGCAGTAAAGAGCCCAGGGGGCAGGCACATGCAACAAGCCCCACCCCCTGCTCCCAGCAGTCAGAGCAAGAAGCAACCAGGTAAGCTGCAGAGCCCCCCCCCCGTCCCCTGGTCCAAAACAGTCCAATGGCACCTTTAAGACCAAGTTTTATTCAGGTACAAGCTCTCCCTCCTCTGCGAGGACAGATCTGCACGTTCCCCCCCCCCAATAGCTAGCAATCCAAAACAGTCCAGTGGAGCCTGAGCGATGGGTGTTGCCGACACACTTCTGGTGATGTCAGGGGTGTGGCGTATGCAAATAAGTTATGCTAATGAGTTATGCTAATGAGCTCCTGCACCTCTTTTTCTACAAAATGACCCCTGATGGCAAGTAATATCCACTTCCTTATGGTTCCTTCCAGCTCACCACAGTGACAAAGTCAAGATCAGAGGCTATTTTGCATTTAAACTGACCGACGAAAAAGCCAAACCCCGATTCGGATTCTTCACATCGGACTCCAAAGCCAAGTCTGCCGTCCAGTTCTACAACCACGTGATCAGCAACAGCGGCTTCCCCCCGGAGCCTCCAGAGAACACATGCGATCCGCCAGCAGAAAAAAAATCTTGCGCTCTCTGTCCATTCCTAACACTGAAAACGCCGCTAATATTCTTTGGGTGTTGCCTTTCCTCTATGTTCGTATTGCTTATAAGTATTATCCTTTTCCACAAAGGAAAAAGGAGAAAATTGTATTGGTCAAAAAATTTCCAATCCGTCTGTCTCCCTGTTAAAACTAGGCCCAAGAATATTCTCAACCAGATATAAAGCTACCCTTTTTTACTGCATGTACATCAACAGGGATGGGACAGTTAAATGGAAACACTCCAAGTCACTCCGGTTACATATACCAAGGTTCTCACAGAAGAGCCTCGTGCCATCAGAAAATCCATGACGGTTCTTTCAGAACGTTAGCTTGAATTCTTAGTTTATTGTTTACACAAGCAGGGAATCCCAGAGTGTTTTCGCTACATACCCCTCTTCACCATCATCACTCTTAGAATTCCCCTTGCCAGGTTTGGGACAATGGTCATTCTACTGTGCCATATGGCAGAAGATGAAAACGGAACAGAAAGCTGTTCAATTGATACAGGGCCTTCTTTCTTTGCATCTAATGTTCTTCAGCCCTGGATTAACTCTGTGATCATGTAAATGAACCCAACCGATGCGAATTGAATGGCTGTCATGTCAGGGTACCTCAAGATACAAGTGACCCTTCAGTCAGGTGTATGCTGAAGAAAAAGGCATCCGGTTCCAGTACAGTTAATTTATTTTTAAATTATAATTTAAGAAGTGGTGTCCTTTTGCAACTTGGCCTAACGGTTTAGCTACTTTTTTGACTTGGAAAGGACATTAAGCTGTGAAGAATTTGTGCACTTTTACAGAATTTCATGTTTTCTGAGGTTAGAAAGCTGTGCTTGTCATTGTTGTGTTTTTGGAGGACTAACACTAGACAGTTCCCCCCACCACCACTGACGTTAAATTCCAGACTGAATGTTTCAAATGTGCCAAAGGTCTGAACCTAATTGGCAAAAGCCTGAGTATTACACATACGCAAATCCTCAACTGCCAATTTGTCCCTAGAAAATTGGAAATTTAATCGGTATTTATGACCCAGCTGAGAATGTTATCCCTTATCATCAGGAATGAAAGGCAGGCCCCCCTCACAAGTGAAGAGAAGCCAGGACTACCTCCAGCTTTTGAGGCCCCAGACATAACGAGACATAATTTGAATTTTGCCTAAATTTGAGGCCCAGGAGTACAGTATGCATTTGAAGCAGAGATACGGTCACCTCAACTTCTGTCCCAAAGTCCATACTGTACCTCAACTACCTGCCAAAAGAATTAATCAGGAGACTCATAGCGGAGAGCTTGTAAAATATGGTTCTGTCTGTGCTGTTAAAATATCTGGATTTCTCACACAAGTGCTGAAGACTACTAGTTAACAGCTTTAAAAGTTGGGGAGCACTTCTAGAGATCCAGAACCCAATCAATATATAGCTTCAGGCCTGTCACAGACATAATTGGTTAAAATTTTGTGACAGGTGAATATTGGTATTTATTTAAGGTGTGCAAAACACGACCCAGTGGCTTGTGAAACCAGAGTTTAATTATGGATTGTCTGAACTCCTTGAATATATTTGGTGCACTGGAACAGAGCAGCAGCAAAAGATTTGCCAAAACAAACTAGAATTGAACGCAAGGGGTATCCTGGTTTCATAAACTTAACTTCAGTAAAATAAACCAGAGGTTTGTGTTATGTTGGAAGCAAGACATTATCTACATTGAAAGTTCAGTGCAGTGTGGGGCAGTCCTTATTTGAACCTGTTTCCCCCCCTTTAATATCCATTTTGCCCATTAAAGATGTATTTTTCAGAAGCTGCCAAAATGTGTCAGTTTTGTTATTAAAAACAAGTGTCTCTTTGATTCCCCACTGCTCCACATGCAGCTGATGGTGTGAGCTTGGGTCAGTTACAAGTTCTTTCAGAGCTGTTCTCTCAAGAGTTCTTGAAAGACCTCTCTCAGCCCCACCTACCTCACAGGGTGTGAATTGTGGGGAGGGGAAGGGAAAGGAGTTTGTAAGCCACTCTGAGACTCTTTGGGTGCGTTCAGACGGGGCATTTACAATGGTATAAGTGCCGGTTGAAATCGGTGTACTTACCGGCGTTCACACGGCGAACATCTGCCTTCTGTCCCTAACCCTTGTAAAGAGCTTTAAACTGTTGTATTCTGCTACTAGGTCCCCAAGTGTTCGTATCCTGAGTGCAACGGTTGTAATCGCTTTACCACCACCACCACCCCATCTGATTGCTCTCCACCGTTGTAGAGCCACTTCATTTCGGAAGCCCGAGGCTTCCAATTTTCACCCACTTTTTTTTTTTTAGGCTGGCGATATGCGCTTGGGTGAAGCTTTGCCCCGGCGTTTGTTTAAAAAAGAAAAGAAAAGGTCCTTAGTTTAAGGTTTTAGAGGAGTCCGGGACCTCAGGGAAGCCAGTTTGCTCTTTAAACTTTAAAGGTAAGTCCTCTTTTCAGGGCATGCTTTTCTGGACGGGGTGTTTTGCGCATGCATGAAGATCGCCATTCCTTACATGGCCATACCAGCTACCAAATGGTACAGCCCCCTCCCTCAAAACCATACATAAGTAGGAAGTTACCGCAATCCAATGAGAAAATACAGCTCCAAAAGAAAACAACGTGGTGGCTGAAAAAGAACAAGTGCCTATTTTTGTTGTGCCGGACAGTACATTTATTATTCATGTATGCACGGTGGCTCAAGTGGTTAAGACGCTGAACTTCAGGCTGTGGAAGGTCGGTAGTTCAGCTGTTCGAGACCCAGGTGCTGCATGACGGAGTGAACTCCCGTCTCTAGTTCCAGCTCCTGCCAACCTAGCAGTTCGAAAGCAAGAAATTGCAAGTAGATAAATAGGTACCACTTCAGTGGGAAGGTAACAGGGTTCCGTGCGCCTTGGTGTTTAGTCATGCCAGCCACATGACCACGGAAACTTCTTCGGACAGCGCTGGCTCTTCGGCTTTGAAACGGAGATGAGCACCACAACCCTAGAGTCGGATTCGACTGGCTTTCGAGCAAGGGAACCTTTACCTTTATGCACACAAACATCAAGCAAATGATTCTCAAGGTTTCCCCAAAACCCAAATAACTTGTTATGCTCTACATCAAAGGAAGATGGGAGAGCACGGTCTGAGGTTAACTACCGTTACAAATACAATTATCTGATAAAAATACTGCAAATTGTAGAATTTAGTTCAAGTCCTACCCCTTAGGGGTACTAAGATAAATCAGAAGTAGATCTGACTGAAGTACAGAAGCCAAACAGCATGTTGCAGAGGACTTTTAGTAGTCCATTGCCTCAGAGCCCTGTTTTTTCCTTGCATCCTACCTTTGAAACTTACAAAACTTCAGCAGTATTAGAACCTTAGCCATTTATCAAACCTGGCCTTTGGGTCCAAGCAGCCATAATATACAGATTTGTTCACCTGCTATGTAAATCCAGTTTAGCAGTTTGCAGGGCAGGCACAACACGACACTGAAGGTTGGTTCAGTTGCCAGTCTTGCTCTCCGTCCCATGATCACATTCATTTGGGCTACTTTCCTTAAATTAACAGGCGTCCGTTATCAACAACTCATCCTCCACCTTGTTGGTGCCATCACAGAAACTAGCCAGACAATGTACTCCACAGCTGGCTATTATATACTTCAAACTCAACATGGGGGGAAAACCTGCAGAACCAGTTTTTCCAGAGCTCACCTCTGGAAACGAAAAAGGCCCTTCTCAACTAACACCACATTGATTAAGAATTTTTGTTTTCTCTTTGGGGGGGAGGGAAGTACCTTCAAAACCCACCAAGCTTCTCTCTTCCCCAGTGTATCACAACTCCAACATTATCATACTATGTATTTATAGTTGATCTTCTTTTCCAGGCAAAATTGGTTCCCAAGGGACCTCACAAAAATAAATTGGGGTGGGTGGTGGGTGGGAGAAAGGACATTGAACACATTCCTTGGGAGAAAATTTTCCAGCCGAACTGGATCCAGGCACACTAGAGGGATGCACATCTCTCTGTGTTTGGCAGAAGTCCCTTGTTAATGTTGACTCTGGTGGCTTGATGGTAGCTCAATTCATCTTGCAGTGACTGCATTACAGAGCAGGTAAGATGCCATGGCACATTTATCTACTGGTTCTTCAGGCCAAAAATGTTCCAGTTATCAGCTGTTCACTACTCTCCTTGTCTGCTTAAGAACTAATTCAATTTGAGCACTCTTATGCAATGTTATACCAGTGTAAGACAACATCTAGTTTTCAAACAGGTTGCAAATGGGTATCGGCTATATTATTGTACCAAAAAGTTGCTTAGAGATCCTCCAAAACGTTTAAGAAAAAAGTAAGCCTTGGAAGCACAACGTTAAAATGGTTGTTGGTAAAGTGTTAATTATGTCCTGTTTTATGGGGTTACCTCTCCAGAATCAGTAGTATCAGGTATTTATCAAACAACTTAAACAAAACATTAAACCACTGAATGTTTTAAAGTACTCAGTACTGCTTATTCTTATTAAATCACAAATACGGGTTAATAAAGATATTTGTTTTATTGTTCATCTTAGACAGTAGACGCTGAATCTGGACTGGAGGTGCCGGGTCTTCAGTGGCTGCTTCAAAATCTAAAATTATAAAAAAGGTTATATTATTAAAAATCTAAAATTTTAAGTGCTAAGGACATGTATCTAAGCAATATACTAAGCTTCACCATCATGACATGTATCTAAGCAATATACTAAGCTTCACCATCATGACTTCGAGACAGATGCAAGTTCAGACAATGTCAGATTTTGACTCACTAAACTCCTAATCAATTTTTCAGCCTGATTATTAGAAGCGTAATACGGTGCTTTGAAGAAAGACAAGGTGAAAGCTACAAACTATACAACACAAAAGCCAAACAAGTATGTGCTTTTTGCATGCCTAGCAACTGTCCTGAGTCCTGACTATTCATACTAGCACGGTGGAGAGCTAACTGTGGCTCCCTGCAAGCCACAGTTTATAAATCAGTTGCCAACTCTGGAACACAGTATTTTCTTTTCCTGCTGTCTAGAGGAATTATTTCCATCCTTCCTGTGTTCTTATGACACAGATGCAGTAATGAAGACCATGCTTAACACAAACCAGGTCCCCAACCCCCCCCAGTAACCAGTTTGCAAACCTATTTCAGGTAATGGTTTTGCTTTACTTTACGAACAGCAATGGCTTGCA